CTCTGGGTCAAACGAAAAACAACCACCTATTTTGGAGGCATCCAGGAAATTCAGGGAGCAGGCTACCACGTACCTATGTATCAGCTTGTTGATGCTGACCGTCGACCTGAGTGTACAGGAGAAACAGGGTTGGTTGTCGAAGAACTGGGTGCCGGTCCCCCTTCATAGATTGACAATCCTTGCAGGAATCAATCGTGCTGGAGTAATTACAGTAAATACCAACAATTAAAGTTGCCAAGTTGGAGATTGTCTGGTATTCTGTCAGAAGGCCGCATGGTCTATGTGGTTTATGATTGTTTCTGGTGATGTGCATGCACATGTGCATCGATCAATATACCACAGCTACACTACCTGTCATGGCATACCGAGCCACCGACACATGCCGACCAAGCACAGGCCCTTCGACCATCGGTCGGAGCTCTCGCTCAGTTGGTGGCCCCGCAGGTACTGACCTTGGTGCTTGGCGAATCTGAACATCTCCAGTTCGCCAAGAAACCCAGTTCGCCCATAGGCCGATCCGCCAAGCTTTGAAAGCGGATCTGATCCGGTTCGGTGACCGTCCATTCCGCGGGTCTGTGGCGGTCGCTTCACGTCCCCAATGCTAAAAACATTTTGGGTTGGCCCCTGTCGGTCGACAGTGTTTGGAAAGCAGTTGATGAGCGGCTTGATTGATCAAGGCACGGTATCAAATGTCAGCTGTATATATTATATATATACACGGTTGGCCCATGTTGGCCCCTATCAGTTCTGAAAGGTTTTGATCAGAACTACTTCAGGCAGATTCCTGACCATATAATCAATCAGCTTCCGTCTTCACACCTGCTGTTTTCATGTTCTTTTTCCCAACTCAGGTGTCGTGGAGGCCCTGCCGTGCACTCACGGAGGCCCTCCCGGGCCGATGCGAGATGCCACCGCGCCACGTAGAACGGTGCCTCGTTGGAGGGTGTGACCGTGCCGATGCCATCCTGGCACCAGGGTGAAGTAAGTGAGGTACTAAGCAGTGCCTCAGTACAGTGGGTTCAGAGTAGATGGCACAACGGCCCCCGAGTCAGGTGGTTTATATTAACCCCCATCTAAAGGACATGTAGGGGTGCCGGGGTGCCAGTGCCATCTACTCTGAATCCACTGATACGTTGTAATTGTGCATCTACAATCTATGTAGTACAGTATTGAAGGACAAATCAAAGCAGCAACAAATCCCAACAATACCTGCTCACTCCAACACAAATGTCCAATCCCACAATAAGCACAACGACCGCCAAAGAATCCATGCATGGAATATGTGCCATATTTTGAGATGCTGGCTCTGGGACATACTCCACAAATGCACGGGTACCCACACCATCTATCTGAGACCCCTGCCTTGCAATCACAGCCGGTGGCCACATCGGGTCCCGTGGAAAACTCCGGGCATGGCACCAGCTCGCACTTGCCGCAGTAGAAGGGCGGTACCTGACAGCTCTTCAGTGGCTTCAGAGGTTCGATGGCACAAGAATCTCCCCCAGTTAGGTGGTTTATATGGAACACCATATATAGCCAGCTATTCTTGGGGGGTATTCCTCTTGGGGCCTTGGGGGTATAAACATCCTCTTGAGGGGGGGGTTTGGCCAATTCTGCAACGTACTGTATCTGACCGGTCCCGGTCGTCCACCCGTTTTTTGCGGTTCGTGCAGGACCGGTCGCACCGCGTGGTGCCTGGTCGTTGCCCTGGTGCCACAAGACGTAGAGGTTACTACCCCTTTTTTTGTGTGTTTGTTGGGTCCTTCTTCAGGTCAAGACCATCTTACATCTCTTGCCACCCGCCCCCCACAGGTCTCCCCCCCCCCATACCATCTTCACGTCGCCTGGGTCGGGGAGATGGTGCCGCTGTAGCCGGCTTTGCAGCTGCATCCGCTGCCCAAGTCCAAGCCTTCCGAGTTCTCCGGACATGCCTGCCGCGCGGTCGTAAGCGCGCACGAACGACCGCGCGCGGTGGTGGTAGGGTAGATGCGACGTGGGACGATGGAGAGCCGCTCGTCCCTTTTTTAAAGCCAAGTCGGCCGTCACTTCCGCATTCACTTTGGTCAAACCCCAATATATGGCATGGGGTGTGACGTGACATGCCGTCCGTGACTCTGTAAGGAAACGGTCCAAGTCATTGAGAATTGTTTCGTGAACGGGACTGCCCTCAGGCATAGGCGATGGGTGATGTGGCAATCATGCTGAAGAAATCCACTAAAATGGAAGGGAAAAGAAACCAGGAAGTTGAAACCTAGAAGATGCAAGCCAAACATGTCGGGTGTTTCTGCCTTTTAAGACATCTGACCGTCTGACAGTCGACGACACGTTGGCCAACTTCATCACCGTCTCCAACTCCGCGCGGAATACAAAACCGCACCTCTGCCACACAGCTACCGGTGTAGTAGGGAGCCGCTTCGCTGGCCTGTGCGACCATCCGTCTTTGCGACCCAGGCGATGAAGCGTCAGCCCCTGTGAGGTCGACGATTACTATTCCCTCATACAGGGGATGACCTCCCTCCGTTCCATGTCCCAAGGGCCTTGTCGTTGTGGCACCAGCTTGATTGGATCCATTTCATGGGGATGTGTTGTTTCCCCTCTCAAGGCGCGCCACGTGGTTTTTAATCGATCTCATGGGGGAAGTTGTGGCATCCGAAAGTGAAACTGGCTTTACAACATTTTACTCTAATTAGCTTAAGGTCCCTAGGGCTCCAACCATATCCTCAGAAGGTGGTTGGGCCCCCCAAACCATGAACCACCCCCCAACATCATAAAAGCACCTGGAGGATGGCCTCAATTGCACGTCCCAGGTATATAGATTAACTTATATCTAATCACATCTTTGGCGCTATGGCAGTGGTCCTCGCCAGTTCCTTGTCCGTTCCACTCGTGAACGCAGCAGCTTTTCTTCTGCCGGGTCAGGTAGCGATAGGCCAAGCGCATCTGAGAGGCATTCTTGTAGCCTGAGAGGAAGCTTGAGGACTACACTGCTGCTGATTTCAAGGCATTTCTAGGTCCACCTGAAGTGATGAGTTCCAGACTATACAGAAAGGACACTGCAAGTGACACATGAACCTAATCAAGTGAGAAAGTCAGTTTGGCAACAGAAAGCCACAGGTTCACGGTGCAAACCAGGCAGCACTTTCCCTCGAACATAACGATATTTGGCACCCAATCAAACTCCACTATGAGGTTTGTGTGTCTTGGAGAGGGCAGTTGGAAGTTCCACTGCCCGACAAGCGCTGTCAAAAACATGAGCCATAGGTGGCTTACTTCCTGCATGTGCGCAATTCCAGCATGTTCTTCTCTGCTCCAAGCTGCCATGGAAAGAAATGGCCAGCTTCTCCTGAGTGCAGTGTGCCAGTACGACGTCTCCAACTTGCTGAAACATTCTTCAGGGAGGGTGGCCAATTTCAGGGTCCACACCTCTTGGGATCCTCTTGGCTCCCAGATGTCCCAGTGCGCCAGTTTATCAGCGCCAGTCCATCAGTTTTCGGTCCAATGATTCTGGATAAGAACATGAAGTCTGCTAGCAACATCCAGGAACCTCGATGGGTAGGATCCAGCAAAACCAACGCAATGCCCGTCATGGTTCATCATCGCCATGAACCACGTTTTCTCATGAACCCTCCAATTTGTGACCATCTGACAGCTGGCAAATGGTTACCATCACAACATATCAACATAGTCCGAGAGATGTTCCACCAAATTCGAAACAGGCCTTGCGGGAGGATCCGGCTTTTTGATCCAAAAATATCCAAAGAGATCGAGGTCGGAGTTACCGGTCCACCCGAAAAGGACGTCGACCGGTCGATCGGAGCCGGGTCTTTCAACTTCTGCCGCGTCGACCGGGTCAGTCAAGGCTCGTCAACCCAATACCTCGGCTGGTCAAGGGCCTTGATATAGATATATCTTGTTACAGAATACATGAAGTGCACAGCTGCATGCCCCATATCGCTTGATGGAGGCAACCAAAAAGGTGCAAGATGCAAACAGGCTTCAAAGTGGACAAACAACAACTCAAAAACATTCAACAACCTCCAAAAAACAGACTAAGCCCAAGACAGGCGCCTCTAAGGGCTCTTTTGGTGGCTCCAAGAACATATTATATACCTCTTAAAGGAACACAAATTGAAGACGTCCTGCACCAGCTGGCTGTTTTGTATTGGGTTACTCTCCTTTTCTGTCCATCTTGCTGTGGTGCAGTCGCCTTCTTCCTTCCAAAAGCTCTTAAGCAATGCCAGGGAGACTTGGGATCCAGGCTCTGGCAGTTGCATTCCACACACCTGGAGAGACACTGGAAAAGATGATGCATCCGCCGTGCTCGCGACCAGTCCTCAACCTCGGGTGGCGAACCGGTGAGAGCTGCGTTGCATGAAGGAAGCAGGACCATCCAGGACCCAAAGTCCGAATTTCTTTATGCCCGGAGTATCTATAGTCACTAGTCTTTCTCTAGAGTTTAGCCAATTGGCTTAGGGGCGAGCCGGGCGGGCCGGAGGGGCCGGAGTATCTAGTCTTGGACTGATTTGACCGCACTGAATAGTCATGATCCACCACTTATACAGGGTCAAAAGAGCTCATCACTAGAGGTTGCCAAGCGGATGTTCCACGGAGTTCCCCTTTGACCGGGTCGGGTTTCGCCGGTGCGCCAGCGGTGTGGCCAAACGTTGGACAGCCCCCCGGCCGTTGCAGCGTCGCGCGAATCCGCCAAGCGGCGCGGCCCAAGGTGCTGCGCGCATCGCGTGGTAAGACATCGCTGTTGAAGAGGTTTTGCCCCAGTGGCGTCACCAACGCGGGGTGTGGAAGAAGATTCCTCGACCACTCGAGTTGGCTCGACGAGTTGGCGAGTTGGGAGGGTCTTGGCCGTTGGGGAATGAAAATCCATTCTCCTTCTCCGAGTGACTGTAACTATACTTAATTCTTTCATCTTGTGCTGCTACACACAAAGGCTCTTCCAGGAGATGTTCTCACTCCAAGTGCCCATCCAACATGCCATGGGAAGCCATGGGAGCTTCCCTGGTGAGCTGCTTGGCAGCCCTGAGGGCTGCACGTCGTCACAACGCGCGCGGAGCGACATGACTTTGGAGCCAGTTGGTTTGGAGCCAGTTCGTCTCAATGCCATGCAGCTCATTGCATCAACAGCAAAAGGTGTTGAAGATCCCCCTCTGGCTATAGGTGTGGTGAATCAATTCTTCACATGCCGCCAGTCTCGCGATGTCTTGCACGCCAGTCACGGTCTAACACGCCATGCGGGCCGCCAAGGCTCAGTTTCTGAAAACAAAGGCCGGTGACCACATCGTCCAAATGACCCGGAAGCATCTGACAGCTTGAGGGTAAATCTTTCGATCGGTTTCCACCGGAATAAACCTCGGCTGCTCCGGTGATTTCGGAAAAAGCTTTCCCCCCATTTGCCACGCCCCAAAGGGTGCGGGCAAGTCTGCTAAGTGATCTCTTGAAAACTAGTTGGTGCTAATGTTAGTGGATTCAATTGCCCTTCAAGCCCTTCAGACTCAAAAAACTTTTTGTTTGTTTTGTGGCTCTCTGGCTACAGTTGCACTGAGTTCCTTGATGACCGGATGATGCAGCCTGTTGCTCGGCCAAAGCAGCATGCACAATGAAGCCCAACAAGTACGTAAAGGCCTCCAAAGCTCGCGCTGGCAAGCCTTAGAGAAACTGACCTGAAGTCATGACCTGGGGCCTTGGCAAGCCTTGACCTCTCTAACATCGCATGATTCATCATGATTCCAATCGTCGTTGCTTATGGGGCTCCAGTTCTGAAATACATGTTGGACTGTTGGGAACGGGGATTACTCAAACCCCAAAGGTCTTGACCATTTTCATTCCGTTCGTGACTCAAAACGGGACAGTGTCTATCCGAATCCAACGGCTGAGATGCAAATGCCAGCACCACCATCTGGAAAGTAGCCCACAAGTCCTGTCCAAACATCTAGCGCGCGCGCTCTCTCTCTCTCTCTCTTTCTTTCTCTCGCCCTCTCCGAGAGCAGCACACTGGATTTATGTTTAATGGACAGAATTCTGTACCTACCCAGGTGTTGTAAAGCGGCTTTCGGGCGACAAGCTTAACATTCCAAGAGACACCTACGTCCACGCTTGGTCCTGAACTCAGTCACAAATGAGCTTTGAGTCATTCCTCAACTAAAACCGCAAAATGATCCAAATGTGGCCATTGTGTAATCTCGAGTGCCTATTGAAGAAACACAAATCACTACAATTATAACCGATAATACAATATAGCACTACCGCCCAAACAAAAGATCCTGAGTTTGTTGGTGGAAGGAACTCTTGGATCTGAAATCATGCCCTCAGGTCAGGTCTCCCTATGACCACCAAACTCGGAGCTCCCCATGTCCCGGTCCCACGTGCTCCTCTCATGAAGTGGTGCACTTGTCCGAAATAGACCATGCCTGGAGAAAAGTGCGGTACAGGACGAGCACCGTCGATTCTCCCAGCAACACCAAGAAAACCAATTTTTGGGGACTGGGTCCATCGCCAGAAATGGTTTTACTATTCGATAATTATGGGGATTGAAATATCAACCGTCTGCATAACCCTCCAAAAGGCGTCCGTCCAGTGTCTCAACCAAATCGCTCTGCGAGGGAAAGAAGAATTGCTTGGAATACAACACGACCGAGAACACACTAGAAACACACATAACAAACCATGGTTTCTGGGACCTTTCTGGCCTTCTTTAAACGGTTATATAGACCCATAAAATGGTGGAGTTAAAATGAGTTAAATGTTAAAGTCTTTCAGTTGTCCCACTTCAGAAAATTTCAGAACACACAGCTCCCAAATCATCCACCAAATCCTCCTCTACCTCCGAGCTGCTCTCTCGGTCCAGGCCCTGCTGCTGCACGAAACGCCGAAAGCGCTCGGCCAGGAACAGCGTGTCCGGATCCAGGCGGCACACGAAGTCGGCGAAGCGGCCGTTTTCTTCGGTCGAGCGGCTGCCGACGAAGTGCCACATCGCCAAGGTTTTACCTAACACAAGTGCCACATCAGCCAGGTGAAAATGGGTGTTGGGACGGATGAGATGAATATGGATGACGATGGATGGGATGGGATTATGGGATGAATGGATGAATATGGATGACAATGAATGGGATGACATGGGTGACAAGATCCAGTGAATTGGATGATCGGCCACGATGGCTTCGAGGGCTCCCATAGCCAAATCACTATACCTTTCAGACCTCAGTTCTTCCTACATCTCAAGTCTAGCCTGGAAAAGCTACTCTAAGGATTCTAGGGATGAGACAAACTGCCCCACGGACTGTCGCTGACCAAACTCCCTTGAGGAATAAACTCACCTGCGGCACCTGCGCTCAATGATTGCAAATCGGGTCAAGGTACGGATGAGATTGGTGGTTTGAAACCTCCGCGACTGCATCGATGGTGAGAGCTTGGAGCCTCCCCGTTGATCTGGATGCACCTTGGGCACCGTGTGGATGGGCACCAGCTGGAGCACTAGAGGTGTCGAGGTCTTGATCGGAGGAAGGACATTTCAAACATGGTTGAAGGGAAATGGTGATTCCAAAGCTACATGCCAGATCACCACCATCTCTACAAAAATCAAAGAAAACCTGGGAAAATGTAAGCTACAAACACTTAATTTATAATTCGATATCTGCGTCATTTCTAGTGAGTCAATTATTATCTACATGCTGCACACAATTGTATGCCATACCAACCCCAATTCCGCATCTCAAGTCATCTCTTGTCTGGGTTGTGGTTCCAATCATCCTCCCAAATATGCTATGGAGTCAATTCAATGAACGTTTCGCCTGCCAGCAGCCAGAAAGTGGTCTATAGAGAACCTTCCACCCCGCCATCATCGCTCCCCTCAAAACCCATCGAGTCCCATCGTCCTCACCTTCATCACTGGATACTCCATGGCCAGGTTCACCACCTTGGATTTGCTGTCCAGGGAGGAAAAACATACAAATTACCCAGGTTAGAGTATTTAACATGATTTAACATAGGCATCCATCCACTTGTTCCACTTCATGCACTAATACACGTGCAGGGAACATATAAAAATCTGATACGCAACACCGAGCCACCTGGTCACCGCGGTGCGAACTGCCTGTCCCGGTCCATGCGCCCGGGGCCCGATCCGCGGGACGTGCGACGTAGACCTCGAAGAGATCGCAGGACCGGCCCCAGGTGGCCTCGAGTCGAAGGCGAGTCTCGAGTCGAAAGCTCGCAGCTCTGGAGGTGTTCTATCTTTCATATTCTTTCATTGTTAAATGGTTAATTCCCAAAAATGTGAAGACATGCATCTTGAATTCAATCCATCTTTTTATCTATTTAAAGATCGTTGTTGTTGTGGAGGCGTAGCCTTATCTCAAAAATATCAAAACAAACAAAAAAACATCGAAGATTGGGCTTCAAAATGTGTTTTTTAAGGGTGCGGGGGGTCAAGTCTTCCTTTCTAGGAGCTTGATCACCATGGAGGCCTGATCAGCATGGTCATCCTTTGAGACCAATTTCGAGCGAGGAAGAGGTCAAACTCTACCTTGATCTTCTCCAACTGTCTCAGACCGAAAATCAGGCCCATCAACGGCGTCTCCCTTACCCCTATAAAAGCACCAAGCAGCTGCAGCTGCCCTCACCTGCGCACGGTCCTCAGGCAGCCGTGCCAGCACCGAGCAATGCACAGAGGGCGCAGCAGTTGCGTGCGCAGGGCGTCCTGTGCGGTGCCCATGCAGCTGCGCTGGTGGTGCTAAGGGTGAAGCTGGCAGGGCGCGGTGCCAAGTGAAGTCTGCGATGTGACGGAAGGAAGTGCTCGAAGTGTAGTAGGAGTCCTCGAGCAATGGTGTATCAAGGTTGTCTGGGGAGTTGGAATGGAACACAGCCAAGATGCATTTGGAGTTTTTTTTTGAATGGAAGCCAGCCACACTAGGTGTTCATGTGTTTTCTCCATTGCGGGTCTTGGGAGCCTCTCACCATTCCATCTCAATTAGTGTATCTGACAAAGCTACCAGCAAAAAGCTCAGCTTTCTAGAAGGCCCTGAAACTCATGACGCAAAAATACATGAAAATACATGGCTGTGAAGTTAAGAAGGGAATAAACAAAGTAAACAACCTGGACCCTCCAAGGGGTGTCCAATGGACTACCCCACACTACCTATAGGCTTCCAGACAGGGCACCCCTTGGAGGATCCTGGAAGAAGACAACTCATAAATCTCCCTGAACTTGACGTCTTTGATATCTTCTTGGCCAAACCCTATCCCCAGACCTCCTGGCCATCCTCCGTTTCCTTGCGGCGGTTGGGGTGGGTGGTTTTGGGGGGGTTGAAACCACCTGAAAGTATATGGGCCAGGAGCCCATAAGTAAGTGAACAGCTTGCTCCTCACCGCCTCACTGTTTTTGAAGGGCCGTTTCACAAGTTCTCACCACGTGCAAAACCGAGCATCGAAGCGCTGGAAGTTCTCATAGGCCTCCTGTGGCGTCAACAGCTGCGCGCACCGTGGCGCGGAGAGCAACTTCACCGCAGTGCTGAGGATCAAATCCCAGAAGTGATCGACCTGCTACAGGGATCGGCCTAGAACTCATCATGTTCAAAATAGATGTTTTACAAAAGAAACATGATTCACTATATATATTCATTCATCTTATGTCAGTTTGCACTGAGAACCAAACTGACTGCCCAAATCGTTTTTTAACCCAAATGATCGAGCAGGATCGATCAATTTCGGTGCCATTTTGCTGCGGCGACACACTTTCTTGGAGGAAAAGGCTTTGGTCCAATTCTCACTGAATGGGCAAACGTATGAGGCCAACCATGAGCCAGCAGGAGGCCGGAAGGTGTTTTAGAGATTCACTGAGACGTGGGAAATGGACTCAGACCATCTTTCCTGGATTTTGGCCAAGAGCTCTTTTGGAGCCTCCATCCTGGATGGCCCATGCAGGGTCTGCAACTGAGGGCTCTCATTGCGGCGCTGTGCCAGGCAGACAGGAAAGGTGTCAATAACCAAATTAACCTCTGCGTTCTTTAAAGATTTTAAAGCACACTGGCAAGCCCAAACGAGCACCCATGCCAGTCGCCCTTCCATACTTTGGACACCCACAGTAACCTGCCATTGTGCCACTTCTCTTTGCTGCTTGAGGCCATCGGAACTATGATCTTGGTGATGGATACCTAGTATGATGGTGTTGCTTCAGTGTCCAAAATGCCATCGATACCTCAATTCTCCAAGGCGCTCCCACTTGTCGTCCATGAGGCAGCTCATCGCTCTGCCACCACTTCGCTTGTAGTCCACAAAGAACGATGAAGTGCAGTTTCTCCTTTCGCCAGGACGACGGACGAGGTCTTCCCGCACCAGGGCTTCAAGACGTCCACTCCGGGAAGGACGGACACTCTGAGACTCACTCACATGGAAGACGACTTAACAGGGCCCCAGGGCTTCTCTTCCACTTCCATGTGTTCGTCGGAGTGTCGTGCAAGACTCCCCCTCCAATCATTTCCAGTGGTGAAGCAGGGCTGCGGGTTCCGGGTTCCAGGGGAGTGCACGAGAACTGCACGGATCCCCAGTTTTGGACCCCACGGGCTTTAAGTACATCCTGAGAAGGTGTTTGGGGTAGGGTTTGGGTATCAAATGGTCTAAGGACTCTAAGGACCTTAGAAGGTATTTGGAGCTCAGTGTTTGACCACTTCCTTGAAGCCCCAGCCACCCAGTCAGAGCACTGATCCGCTTGGCGGGAGGCGCTTCGAAGAGCAATCCACAAGCCTAAAGAGACTCAGCAGGAAGACCCTGAGGAAGACCCTGCCAGTGGCTATGGAGTGTGTGACGTGCTCCTGGAAAGTACATGTTGGATGTTAGACGACTTTAGTGAGGAAACGAAAGCAATCCCCAAAAAGAGTGCTGCACGGACTGTGGGTCAAAGCCCAGAAAATCTACAAATCACATCAGGAACTGAATGTTTTCTCATCCGTGTCAATCTCCTTCCAGGACAGCAACAACAACTGGTCTCAAAAACATCTGTTGTTCCAATTCCACCGCCCTCTTGGCATACTTCTAGACATGTTCTGACCCGATGTGCTCAGACCCTTCCGACTTCGCCATCCACCCGCAGAAAGTTTGGCCCGAGCAGCGCTCGGTGCTACACTCCGCGGGGTGAAAGCGCCAGCGGAAGCGGCGCACCTCCTTCGCGGCGATCGCCTCCTCTCTGGGCCGTTCGGACAGGAACGTCGCCACCTCTCGCCTCGGCGGCGGCTGAGAGGTGAAGATCCCGGTCCGGCGGAGAGCGGGTTGGCGATCTCGGCCAGGGCCGAGTCGATTTCCGGAGCTCCATCAACTGCGACGGACGTCCGTGATTCTGGTTGACAACAAATCGATGAATGAGCTCAAGGATGGTGGTGAAGGATCATGGTCATGGCTTTGTTATCTAGATGTATGATGACTGAAACAATCATGGAACATGGGTTCTTGGATGACTGTGTTCCGAATACGAAGCAGGTGGTTTTCCACGTTCATGATTATTTCAGGAACCGTCGTAGGTTGTGAGGGTCATGACACCCCTGCCCTAGCCTAGTGGATCATGGCGGCCCAATGAGGAGTCACAGGAACCTTCGAACCAAACGAGGATAAACATGTCACTGTCCACTCAAAGAATCAAAACTCGTTGAAAAGCTGTCTATATATGATATAGACATACTATATAGACTGACTCTTTCAGTTTCCCTGGAAAATAGAGGTTAACCTTTGTCTAGCTGTTCTTGTTTAGTGGGGAAGCCACTCCCCCCAAAAGGTTTATAGTGGGGAATCCACTGACTGGGTATGTCTATGTCCAACCTTCCAGCCAGTACAAAGTGACAAAATGATTTTGTGGGGGCTGCTCGAAAGGTACGGCGTGTAAGTAGAAGACCAAGGAGCAAATAGAGAGACTTGCAGCCGCAACCACTCAAGCCAGCTCCTTCTGCATGGCAACACTGCGCATGAGTAAAGCCATGGGAGAAGCAGGAATGAGTATCATCGTTCCTTGGCTCAAGCTGCCCAACCAATCAATTGGTAAAACTAAGCTAATTCCATACATGGAGAGTGTTTGGATGGTATACGGTATAGGGAATTCCTTCTTCAACTTCAGATCCTGTTATATATATATATAGATTGATTGCATACAATTCCTCCGGCTTCTCCAGGCTAACTTACTGTATCCATCTGTATCCTAACTTATCTCGAACTGCCTCTCTGTATCTTGCTGCATGCATGGTGCAGGACACTGACATCATAGATGAAAAGTCGCATGATTTGCTAGCATGATGGCGCAGGGTGCCAAACAAGGAGAAAACAGGATCGTGGTGCCAAGCTTGGGCCAAGCATCATCGGGCAACAGGCCCATGGCGCTACATGGTCACCCTCCCAGCACGGCAGCTGTTCTGCCAACCCCCACACCAGTGCTGTGCCCCAGGTCGCACTCCAAATGAGGCAGTCGCTCGGCATGAGCAGAATCGAGGCATCTCGAGCAAAAATGGTGGGCTATAGGTAGAAACATGTGGAAAGGATGCAAATCAAAGGGCCCTCCACCCCCTAAGGTTCCCGAAGACATCACAAGCATCCTCTAATTAATGGTCAAAAGCTGGTTTTCCAAACTTTTGATCCACGACCAGCTTTTCGAAAAGGAACAACCGAACGGCGCTTGGTGGAAAACGACCGTGGCAAGTCTTTGGGTGAGCTGTCTGATGCGACCGTGTTGAAGCATCTTCTTGTCAATCTGCGTACCGGATCTCCAAGGAATGGACTCAGCTGGATGTTCAGTTGCTTCGGCCACGCGTTCCGGCATGAAACGATAAGGGTTATAACCATTCACCCCATAGCCCGACCAACTACAGCCAAAAAGGCTTTGCAGGTTCACCCACTCTGGTGGATCCGCATTGATCAGCACTGTAGGTACATCTAAGACTCCCAAAGCACTCAAGGAGTCAAGACCGGTGTTCTCAAGCCAGCGCATGTCAAACCTGCAAAAACTGGACTTGACCGTGCTGGCCACAACTAGGCCCTCCATCAATGCATCATTTCACCCTGCGCAACGCAGGGCACCTGATTGTACTAAGTGTCCAAGCGCCCGGCTTCTTTTTGCATTGCGTTGATTCGCATGGCAGCAGGTCATTAAAAATTCCACAGGGCTAAGGCACACTCCCCAGTGACCAACGGCCGACCTCCACGGTACGTGCTTTCTCTGAAACACATGGGTCGGCAGCCCGGTGTGGTGGGTCATGGCACCCAACCAGGATCATTTGGTTGACCTCCCAGGCATTCTGTTCATTCTTTCTTTTCCTCCACAGGGCGTCCCAGTGCCACCGATGTCGCCATGTCGAGCGAGCTGCCATGTCCATCGCCTCTAGTCACCGGGGGAAACCTTCGAGCCCGGAATGAATTGGTCCTTCGTAGGGTCTTCCTCAGAGAAAAGGCTCGTCTACCGAGCACCAGGCGAAACACAGGGAGCGAGCTGTGAGGACACATGGATCCTGAGATGATGAAGTTCAACTTAAACAAATCCCACAAAAAGCGTTGAACATTGGGATTCAGCTTCCAAAGCAAGCCGTGGGGACCCCAGGTTCCAAAAGCAAGTCCAAAAAGCAACTTACGAAACATTTCTGCTTGCTTGAAGCAATCAACTTTTCGTGGAAGGAAGGAATGATGCCAAGACTTACAGGCACCTTCAAGGGTGCCTCAATTCAAGTGGTGACTCTAGCAAACATTGAACGTGCTCACAGATTCAAGAAACAAATAGTATCAAATAGTCACAGGTCGGGAACTCGCATGAAGCACTGCCAATTCCTTCCAAAACACGGCTCGCCCCCTCTCCGCTCTCCGCAAGCGGAGCGTCGCTTGCAACGGGAGGCCACTGCTTGGATTTGGTCCGGCCAAGTGAGTATTGGGCCGGCCAGTTCGTTTCAGGTGTAGAAAACTCCAATCGAGACCTGATGGCGGCCACTTTCCTTACAAAATACCATCAACATTGGCGTTTTCCACACCCATGGCCCCTCCACTCATGACCAGAACCAGCGGAATTTCACCTACTGCTTTTCGTGGGTTCTTCTTCCTATGATTCTTCCCCTCGGCTGCCGGTGGGTCCAAGGCGCCCTGGCCATGACGGCCGGTGTGAAACTCATCGAGTTTTCGGTCCATCCAGGAGTCCGGGAACAAATCGCGACGCTGGATTAGCAGTTCAACATCCAAACTCCTCAAACATATAGCTTGGAGACTTGCTTGGAGCTGCGAACGAGAATATGGCCATTGTTCTAGTGCATTCTCTGATGTTTGATTTCAGTTGGCACGGCCAATGAATTCTGCTTTGGCAAGCACGGTGATGCATATTGTCCAATATTATTGAAGTCGGGTCTGAGAGAGTCTGGACCCCGGCTGGGTCGGCTACACGGGTCCGAAAAGCTGCTTAGGCCTAGGCTGGACCACTTGTGGGTCCGAAATGGATACCTTCCCGCTTGTGCGCTCGTGTTCCCCCCCCCAAACAGAAACTCCTCGTTGATTCAACCCCCGCAGCATTCTGGGAGACCCCCAAACTTCTTGGGAGTGATCAATAAAAGAAAACTGGTCTTTGGCATGCATGCGGACACCACGCATTTATGCTGGCTGAAGCGGCTGAAGCGGAGTGTGGACAGTTTGCCTCTCAGTCTGCCTGGGGAGTCTGCGCGTTCGGCAGGGCATTCGGTGCCGCATGAAAGCCATGGTGAACCACCCCAGCATTCACGACCAGTTCTGCTTTGCCATTACCTTCTGGCTTCTGTTTTGCAAACTCGATTTTGGTGCTGGACTGTGCAGGATATAATACAATATGAATCCCAGTACGCTGTGAGTAGTGGAAGGCTTCCTTTCACTCGCCAATGATGTCCACCATGCTGCTTGGCTTTCTGTACATGTTTTTCAGCTGCCAGTGCCCTTTGGACCCACAGGGAAACATACAATGATTTATAGACATATTCAGCATGAGAAATGAGCCTGGGGACGAATCAGCTGCTACAGTAGAGGCATAGTGTCACTAGACTTCCTAACACCAAGAATTCTACCAACATCATGATGTCATATGATTTCTGGATGCTCTCACCATCCCAACAACCTCCCTATCAAAACATGATCGAAAGTCCACAAGGGCTCGACCAAGGGCTGCCGGCTCACCCCCCAAAAAGCTCCGAAGGCGACTGGCATGGACCAGACGGGTTTCGACCGCCGTGCCCCGCATTTGGAGATGTCTCTCTTACCCCCCTTACCCCTGCCACAGGTGGGCCCCACCGGTCTCCGGACCCTTGGACTTCGCCTGGGATCGTTGTACCGCCTTCCCATAGGAGCCCACCACTTGCGCTCGCACGGACAGAGAGGGCCGTCCCTGGAGGCCCTCGTCCTCGCCCGAACGGACCAGCAGCACCGCGCCGTCGTTGCAGTGGCCCTCGTAGTCCCGGGCGGAGAAAACACCTGAGAGGTGATAGAAGGGACAAAAGCGGCCAGAGAAGCTGGGTAGAAGGGATCAGCCAGGAAGAAGCAACCTCCGAGTGTAGCAGCTGAAGTGTGGGCAAAAAAAGTGTGTCCTCAATCTTCCTGGCTAGGTTTCCGTGTGCTCAACCTCCTGAAGTACATGTCTGTCTTGGCTATCAGCTACCAACCACGGCTTCGAGACACCGCCACCGCTGCCTTTTCAGAAACCACTGAGAGGGTGCAATTCCGCCGAGGAAACCCAGGCACGAATGAGGCATTCGTCGTGCATCAAGTCGAATCCGAGGCCATTCTTCTTGGACTGATGCGAACGAACCACCATGTCCACCCCATTGCGAGCACAAAAGGTCCTTCTGCGAGCACGGTCGGTACGGGTGTGGGGGTGGCAATGGAGTGTCACCGCATGGTCGGTATACGGGTGCAGTGTCTGTAACACAAGCTTTTAACCCGGACATCATGGCATGTCAAGGCTTGCAGATTGACCAGCCCGACGAAGGAACACGTCAGGTGTCCGAGGTTTGATCGGCGAAGATCGCCCGAACAAAAGAACACAGAAGTGAGCTGAGCTCGTCAAAAGCATCGACAGCAAACAAGGTCAAACAAGCTCCTTGTTGCATGGGTATAGTATAAACATCAAACAAAACACGGATGTTAAAGCGCAAAATCACATCAAACTCGCCAAGGATCTTGGTCACATCCCATCCAAACCTGGTCAGGTTTGGCCATGGATACAAACATTCTGCACAACAAAGGATACACACATCTGCACAACAAGCACTCCAATCCAGCAAGAAAGTGTGCAACGCACTCTCCTCTAGAAGGATTAGAAGAACATAGAAGAACCAAAAAACAATCCAATCCAGCACTGTGTCTTGGAGCTTCGTTGTCAAACGACTCCCTTTGTCAAGATCCGATATTCTCGGATCATAGGGGCCCGGCGTTCGGAAGAAAGAACTTAAAAGCCTTTAGTTGATGCTCCGTGCTCTCCCGTTTTGCTGGCGTTTTCATCCTGCCTGGTACCTCGGCCTCAAGATGCAGAAAAACCTAAAAAGCCCCTTCTGCCGCTCACCTCCGCCGGCACCTCCACAAATCCCGGTGACATGAGGCTGGCAACTGCTAAGTGTTGAGCAGCACCCACTCTTTTCCAGTCGGTTTGCCAGTATAATATAGCAATTACATCAAATGCGACTGGCTAATTCCAGTTATGTGATCAACTTCTTCGAAAATTCCACTAGTTAATTCCAATGATGTGATCGACTAAACCCACCTGCAGCAGGCTCCTTCCACTTTCTCACCCCCCCGGCACCATGGTCTCCCCTTCGTCTCCCCGCCGGTGGTCTCCGAGCGACAGCACGGCCGTGGTGTTCCGCGGCGAGGCGTGCACGCCGAAGACGGGGCCCCGGTCCCCGCCGTCGCGCAGGGCGTCGCGCTCGGCGTCGCGCTGGGCGCGGTCGTCTTCGATGGGATCGGACCAGAGGATGTTGTGCACCCAGCGGAACTTGGAAGAGCCCAACTCCTGTCAAGTACTGGGTCAAGTGCTTCTTTAAAGCGGTGGTTTATAGGCTTGTTACGTTTGTTTGTTTGATTGATTGCTTCTGTCCTTGTAAGCTTCTGTGGTTCTCTCCCTCTCTCTCTCTCTCTCTCTTGTAGGAGACTAGCCAAACTTTGTGTGGATACGTTAAGTTTAAGCCCATTATTAGGATCCTTTAGGGCAGGCCCGGTAGAGCATCCCAAGTCGAGAAAACAACACTCGCGGTTTATTGAGTGGGAACTTGATGGGCTCATTTTGTTATCAAACCACTCCTGGTGTTGATTTGGCTGTATTTCTTGGGCTGGTGTCTGGCCTGAATTAGGCAGTAACCTCCGAGTTGTTATTGGGTGATGTTATTTCGGGATAGTTCTTGCTTCCTAGATCTTCCTAGCTTCTTGCCTTTTCACGGCAGTTTTGCAGTACGTCTTATGCGGACAAAACCATAAATTCTTGTTTAGCCACACCATCTCCTAAATAGAACATGCTCATAAAGTGTTCAAGGGCCACAGAAATTCTTTGGGGGACAGGACAATGATGCAATGCATGGTCCATGTTTTCAAGGAAACCCAGAAACATTGCGTTTCTTTTGATGTCAAGGATGGATTGAGAAACCTTCTAGCAGGGTGGTTACCTTACTAGGGTGGTTCTTTTGTGTTCGTCATCTTTCACATACCCATAAGTCATAAGTCTGTCAAAAGAACGCCATATAAAGCAACAAAAACGTCCAAATGGACAGCGACACCGAGCAAAATCACACGAATTCGATCCAATACGTCTCTCCCGGTTTTCGATCCAAGAGGAAACCGTTGTTTCCAGGTCCGTCCTGTTGCCCCAAGGGTCGTCGCACAGCTCTGAGGTCGTTCAAGTCCCAGCGTCCATCACCCACGCCGCCATGGACGCATAAAATGTGCCCTCCGACCACGCAGGCCAAGGGCAGTTGGTCGAAGGCGGTTTGCATCAAATCCTGGAGGCGGTCCCGAAACGAACAGAAGGGCGAGTGTTTCTGTCTTGTGTCGAGAAGGGCTGCCAGCTGCCATCGGACGTGTTATTTTTTGTTTTGGATTGGGATCTCCTCGCTGCACGCATTCCTGGATCTTCAAAACGGCACAAGTACTTGCCTTTTCAGGAGTCTTTTCCAAAGGTGGTGTGGTGTTTGTTCATTTTTTGGCTGTGACAAGGCGGAAACCGGCAAATGTTGTGAGATTCGGTGAGATCTCAAGAAGAAACGGTGTCTTTAATTTAGGTGTCCAAAGGCATCTTTACCATCGATGTTTAATGATTTTGAGCACATGGTTGCAACCCCTGAAACAGCATGTCTTTTTGATTATAATTGCGTCTTTTCACTGAAAAGCGCCGTCAAAAATGTGTGCCGTTTGAAGATCCAAGATGATCCATGTCCCAACACACCTGAACACCTCTTCGAGGCGACGGTCGGTTCTTGGACCCCCGTCACTTCAGTTGCTTCGTGCCAAGCGTCGTAGGTCTTGCGACCAAAGTTGTTTCCCAGGCGGTCTTGACACTCGTCCAGGAAGCCGTAGCCTAGGTGGAAAACTGATTGGGGAACCATGGGGAACCAATGCCCCAGCATCTATTGGCACATGAAGGTTTCACAAAGACCTTGGTCGCCGGGTACGTGCACATGCTCGTCACCTGGTTCTTGACCCTTTGATGTCACAGTTTGATGTCTGTCATGTTGACACAGGGATACTCAAACCTCAAAAGGTCACTTTGAAGGAGCTGAGCAGTCCAAACATGTGTTTGTTCTTCCTGCCTTGAACAGGTGGTCTGGCTGCTGCAAACAAAGGACTTTGGTGGGAACTCATCATCGAAAACAACCTTCGTCGCACAACATGGAAAACACACAAGTTTGGAGTTCTGGAGTTTCTTGTTTCAGGTAGGCTCTATCCAGTCTGGTCTATTTTGATTTCACTGAGGACATGAATGAAACACCCAAGGAACATATAGAAACCTAACACCATGAATAACACGCATCGGCCACTGCTAAATTACAAACCGCATAGTTCAGGTACTTTGCCAGGGCCAAACATGTCACGTCTCGCACATTCGACAGCTCCGTCTCGACCGTCTCGTCACGTTTCGACCATTCCAGGTGCCGAAGGTTCCCCCCCCCCAAAAGAACAACATATTGACAAAAAACAAACAAACCCTCAAGGAAAGAAAACCATTTCGCGACATTCCCGCAAACAATGTTTAGGTATTAAAATTCCTATTCTTAGGCCTTTTCTCACTCCAGAACCGAGCACATTCTCGCCGGGTCGCGCGCGTTCATGGAGCGATCCTCATGGTTTCCCCGCACCAGCCACACGCGATTGGGCATGTAGACTTTCAAGGCCAAAAGGAGGCCAATGACTTCTAAGCTGTGAGCACCCCGATCCTGGAGCCAGTCGGTGGAGCAGCAGCTGGGAGCCGAGCTATGTGCTCCCTCGCTCACAGCACAAGTCCGTGTGGATGGTGGCATGATGGTGGGTGATGGGTTGCAGAAACAGCCATTCGATCCGGCTTTGGAGTGGAGTTACGGTAGCCCAACGTGAGGTTGTAAGTCAGTACGTATCCTGATGGTGCCAGCGCATGGTTCCCTTTGTGATGCCTGGACCACTGTGGAAACCATCTACTACATTCTACTGCCACCCGAAAATTGCAGATCCTGATACAAACAAAATCACAGGAAAACTCATGCCCATGTCCCGCCCAATGTCGATCTCCGAGGCTTCTCGAAACGAATAATCCACAGGAATAAAACTTGACTTCAGCAATCCATGTGTGGAATATTTATATAATTACATTGACCCTTCAACATCTTAAACAACCCCCAATGTAGGCTATTCCATCCATGGATTGCCTGTGTGGGGCTCATCCAAGTCTCAACAAAGTCGCCATTGAACACGTAGGACACTTCCTGCTCCTCTGAGTCCTCCTTCCGAGTCCCAAGCGGTTCAAGGCCGCGTGGGTCTGCGTGGGTCTGCGTGGGTGCTCGTGTGACACATGCTGCTCAGGGCACGAGGGGCACTGATGCCGACCTGGAAGTCACATTGTAAGTCGACGGCGTGGTCAGGTGCCATGAGATCAAAGGGACCACCACCCAGGTCTGGGAAGTGCTCGGAGGCTTTACGTGGTCTACACCAGATGGAGAGGCCGAGGCGACGTGAACACCAGTGGTGGATCCAACTGGATGAGGTCTCGTCTGATTCTGCGCTTGGCCGCTTGGTTGCACAGAAACAGAAGGCAAACACCTTTTAGATAAAGGCTCTGGCAAGCCCCATCGAGATCATCAAGGAAACCAGGAAACAACCACATTCACAGCAGACCGTCCTATTCTCCAAATCAAGCGGAGGAGAATCTCTCTTCAGGCGCTCTCAGGAGTCCGGCAAAGGAAAGCACCCGAAAACACAAATCAAGGAAAGGAAAGGAACGCACACCCATAACCCAATAACCCACCCATCACAATTCCGATGTAGTGAAATGGACGGACATGATCTGCCCCAGTGGCCCCATCATGTCAACGATCTACCCCATCGGATCTCATACTCTACCGTGCCAACACGGATGAAGGGAAAAAAGCACACGTTCGTGAGCCAGAACAAGGTTTGAAAGAGTAACTTATGGAAACTCCAGCTTTCTATGACAACCCCTTTCCGATGTCCAAACATGTTCCCCTATTGGCTCACCCAGCATCCTCAGCATGCTGGCAGCACGGCCCGCATGTCCTCCCCCCCCAACCAAAAAGGCTTCACCGTCCGCATCACCCTCCGAACGGAACGCCCGGCCGAACTCTCCTTGCTCCCGGGAAAGCCGAAGGCCCCGAAGAGCAACAGCAGGTCGCGAAACTGCCCATGCAAATCTCCAAAGATCCGGCCTCGGTCCGGCGTTGCCGGTAAGGAAGCGCGAGCAAAGGGTCGACCTAGAGATGTCATGCATGAAATGGGGTAACGTTCACATCACAACAGTAAACCACGAGTCAATTATAAACCCGAAAATAATCCAGGCCTCCAAAACCATGCAATAATTAACTATATATACTGTCAATAGAACGCATATGTTTCAGTATGTTATAAAAACAATAGTGTCATGATGTGTCATGCAATGATAATGCTATTCAATAAATACAATCATAAACTTGACTTGCCCCTCCGCAATATACAGCCGATGGGGGCGGCGTAGTAAGCCTCGGTCTTTCTTCGCATGTTTTGGTGGCAGGTGTTGTTGATTCCATCTCACACGTGGTCACTGGTCACCATATATCAAATATTGCAACACACGGTGTGAGTACGATTTTGCTTTCACGAAGCGGCTGCTCTCCATGACCCGATCCCACACACTCCATGGTAAGTATGCCAGTCCCATGAGTCGTGTATGGGTATGGATCCTGGTGCCAAGATGCAAGGCACATGGGCCTGGCCCACTACGGGCTGCAGTGCCAAGAGCTTCGCGCTCGCCTGCAGATGCCGTTTTTTTGTGCTAAAAGGCCTGTGATGAGGTGGCCGTGCAAACAGGTGGTGATCTTGGACACAACTCAAGACCCACCTGAGTCACCGGCTTTTCTGTAGAAGTTGTTAATTCGCGATCCGGCCAATGGAGACAATTTTTTCAGAAAACGAACGCATATCACTTCTGGGCCTCAAACTGCAAGGGTAATGCCTTCATATGCCTTCCAAGTTTGATCAACTCACGCTGGTCAAGTCAAGTCCAACTCACAGTTGACCCCAAAGCAACTCTCCACGAGTTGTTTAGAAGAGTGTCCGGGATGGTGTTTTTCCCACTGGGATGGGGATGTCATTGGCAATATCTTCATATTGACATTTCATGATGCTTCATGGCTGTTTGATTGCAACGAACCAGTATAGGGAACCACAGCCCTTTCCGGTCTGCCAGGACATCGCGTTCTGACACAGGTCGTTCAGCCTGCCGTCTCCACGCGTCATTCTCAGTTCTCCACCGAGCCGGCTGGGTCGAACCTTGGCCAGGATCATCAAGGTGTCGATGTATTCCACGGTAAAGAGCTCCTGTAAAGCTCCACCTTGCAAGCGCCAGTCCTCGGATTGGCATGGAGCGTCCGTCGTCCGTCACGCTCTGGAGATGTTCGGGTTCCAAGCTGGCTTGCAGCTTGCCTTCGGTGCTCCTACCGTATCCTACTGTGGTCCCACCCCCGGTAGCATGATGTTAGTAAGTATAGTAATAGGTTTTCTCTGAAAACCTCCTGCCTGTGCTTCTTTCGGCAATCGCATGCCTTCAGAATCACCATCCCACCCAATTCATCAGCCTTCCCAGCTTCTGCATGGTAGAGATCGCCCTTCTCATGCATGACCTTCTTGGTCAACAAGGCTGCTTGGTTCACCACGCGCCGTGCGCGGGCTTCGATCCGCGTCCACACCCGTGAGCTCCTGAACGGTTGGGGAGGACGATGGGCTCAACAAAGCTACAACACCGAGAAACCATGAGAAAATGCATTATTTGCGCCGTTCGTTGAGGGCAGAACACGAGCTTTTCTCCCAGTTGTCCAGTTTTCAGCTGCGCACATATGCAAATGTATGGGGTGAACAATTGCAAAAAGTGATCTTTGGAGGTGCCAGCGCTTGTCTTGCATGAATGCTGCATGAAGGGAAATCTTTGTTTGCACCAAGCTGCTTGGCTGGCCGTGCCATCCAGGCCATGGGTCCCGGGTACCAAGTATATATTATATATATATACATCAATATATGTATATATCACGCTTAAGGTCCACTGGCCGTGCCACCAGTCAGTATGTTATTTTCAGAAGCAACAACCTGAAGACGATTGACAATTGACTGCCACCAGTCAGTACATATAGTACTATATTGGACTAGTGTTCTGGACATCTTGGATAGGAGCCCCCTGAGAATCTGACCATTGTTCAAAATCACTTGAAACGTCTCTTTTTGGTGCGGTCGTCTCTCCATGTTTTGAAAACAAAAGGGCGTG